TCTTTTAATTGTATCAAGTTTTTGCATCATATATTTTGAAAGTCCGTTACTAGATAAGTACATTTTTATATAATCTTACTGTTTTGAAATGTTTATTAATATATGTTATTCTATCTTTTTAACCTTTTAAAATTAAGGTCTGTTTTGTAATAAATTTAGTATAACCACCCCAGTTCTCTTATTTACTATCTACATGGAACATCTTATTTCATTAAATTCAGCCTTTTTCAACCTAATTGTGTCTTAAGGTCTAAAAGAGTTTGTAGACAGCATGTAGTTGGACCATGGTTATTTGTTGTTGTTGTTGCTATTTATTTTATTTACCAAAGATTGAACCTAGGGATGCTTAACCACTGAGCAACATCCCCAGGCCTTTTTATTTTTTCAGACAGGATCTCGCTAGTTTGCTTATGGCCTCACTAAGTTGCTGAGCTGGCTTTGAATTTGCAATCCTCCAACCTCACCCTCTCAAGTTGCTGGAATTACATGTGTGTGCCACTGTGCCCAGTTGGACTATGTTTTTTTAAAAACTATCTGCTCATCTCTGTCTTTTGATTGGAGAGTTTAAACCATTTATATTAATAATATTAAGGAGGAATTTATATCTGTCATTTTTCTATTTTTTATTTTTGATACCTTACTGCTTTATAAAGTTCTCATTTCCTCCATTACTATTGCCTTTTCTGTTTAGTTAGTTTTTGTTTAATCTTGAAGTGTTTGATTTCTGCATTATTTCTTTTTGTAATCTACTGATACTTCCTTTGTGGCTACAATAGGATTTAACATCTGTATTAATCTCTTTTCTGCTGCTAACAATACCGCAGACTAGGTAAGTTAGAAAAAAAAAAAAGAGGCTGGTCTGGTTCAAAGTTGAGGAGCCAGTCTGTTGATAGTCTTGAAGCCTGTAGAGTCCCAAAGTGGCAGGGGACATCATTTGGAAAGAGTGTGTGTGTGTGTGTGTGTGTGTGTGTGTGTGTGTGTGTGTATGTGTACCTTTTCTGGTCTCTCTCCTTTTTCTTATAAAGCCATTAATATCCAATTATGTAGTCTCCACCTGATAACCTTGACTAGTCCTAATCATATTACAAAGGTCCCATTTCTCAATACCATAATCGGATTAAGTTTCCACCTCCTTAATACCATACAGTGGGGATTGAAATCCATCAATTTAATCATCTAATTTGAATTGACACTAATTTAACTTCAATTCATTCAAAAGCTCTGGTCCTATATAGCTCTGTACATTTTTGTTGATTGAGGTAAGAGATGGCATCATATGTGTCCATTAATAAAGGCATTTTATACATTTGACTTTTAGGTCATTAAGAAAATTAAAAGTGGAGTTAGAAATTATAATTAATCTTATTGAGGATCTGTTTTTGTTTCACAGGTTGCTTCTTTGTTACTGCTTTAGAGATTGTCTTTGGCTTGTGACAGTTTGGTTCTAATGTTTGATGAAGTATTTCCTAGTAGGAATTTGTTGAACTTTGTAAAAATCATAACATTTGGGGAGTTTTTGACCTTTATTTCCTCAAATACTCTTTCTGCCCTTCTTTCTGTCTTCTTCTTTGGAACTTACACTTTCTGACTCAGCTTCAAGAAAGAAACAGTATTTGTTTTGTTTGTATGTTTCCATATTATTTTATTTGGGAACCAGACATCTAAGGATTAGGATATTCAAAGCAATCACTTATATGGAGGAAAATAGAAGGCTTTAATCAGGGATGGATACAGGCTCAGAAAAGAACTAAGAAGACCATAAGCTTTTACCTTAGGCTGATCCCCTAGCACAGAGAGAATTTAAACACCAATCAACCAAACAAAAAACCAGCAAACCTGATGGAAGAGAGAGTTTCTGATTTTGAGTCACATGTTTTAAGATTCAGATGTCCAATTTTCATGAAAAAATCACAAAGCATAAAAGATTCAGCAAAGTATGAACTATTCAAAAGAATAAATCAACAGAAACTGTCTCTCTAGGAATCCCATATGTCTGGCTTATAGACAAAGGCTTTAAAACAACTGGTTTTTGTTTTATTTATTTATTTGAGATAGGGTTTTGCTAAGTTGCTGAAGGTGGCTTCAAAGTTGTAATTTTCCCTTTGTCAGCCTCCTGAATCAAGTTGCTGGAATCATAGGCAGGCATTCTTACCAGAGTGATCTTTTATTCTGATCACAGATAGTGTCATTATCTTAAAAAAAAAAAAATGCAAGGCATCCCTGTAACTATAGGTTGAACTTCAGTTTCCTTATTTTACTATTCAAGGATTTTCCCATTCTGCCTCTTGCCTATTGCATTGTGCATTGCTTTGTTTCATACAGACCCGTATTCTACTCATACATTAATGTTATTGTTCTAAGGTACAAAGTCACATGCTGAAAAAAGTTAAGCATATTTGAAAACCAAAGTTAGTTTTCTGTGAATGGCGTAGGATATTGTAACATATGGCAATGGTAGGCATTGAAAGAGTATATAAAGTCTGTTTGGAAAATGGACTCAAAGATAAAAATAGCATGAATATCATCACTGATTCAATGGCCAACATCAGAATTGCTATATTAGATAAAATACACAATATTATACAATGCATAATATGTATTCTATCTAATATCAGGAAATAATATGAAGTGTAATATGACATCATATATGATGTGCACTAGTCCAAATGTTTAGCTTGAATCCATTAGGCATTCAGATATTATGTCTAATTTGTAGGAAATATCAGGCATGGAAGAATAAATTCAATAACTCCTTGAGGAAGCAACCATTCAAATTCAGGATTTTTGCACTGCAGTTGACCAGATTTCTGCAATGAGACAGTGTCTTTAATTAATCACTCAATCAATTAATTAATTTTCTGGACACCAGGGATTGAACCCGGGGTGCTTAACTGAACCACATCCCCAATTTCTCTCCCCATTTTTGTATATTTTATTTCGAAGTTAGATCTCCTTAAATTGCTTAGGGTCTTGCTAGATTGCTGAAACTGGCTTAGAACTGTCATTCTCCTGTCTCAACCCTCCAAGCTACTAGGATTATAGGAATGTGCCACCATGCCTGGCTCAGTATCTTGATTTTTTAAGTGTCACATTTTAAAAAGCTTAAGGGCAGTAACTAGATACAGTGTGTGGATTGGAAACTGGGAATGGTCAATAGAATATTTACTTGTAGTTAGTTAGGTATTACATGAAGGGAAATTTTCCTGAAATATTACTGATTTGAGACGGCCAGCTGTAAAGATAAAGTTTAACAGAAAATGTGAATGTGATCCACCAATTAGAGAAAAAATTACTCAAATTAGAAGATATTGTGTATCAAATAAAGCAGATTACTAAACTGGTTTCTTTAAAAAATGTATACACACAACAGGATGTGCATGGAAAATACTGATTGGTAGTGGAATTTAATGTTATTTTAGCTTGTCTCTATTTTCTATTTCTTGGCAAGGCATATTATAATGAGTATGTAAGAAAATTTTATTTAAGCAAATTATATTAAGATTTACTTGTATGTTTGCGGTATATATTTGAATTAAGAAATACAGGGGCTGGGGTTGTGGCTCAGTGATAAGAGCACTTGCCTTGCACATGTGAAACACTGGGTCCTATCCAGCACCACATAAAAGTAAATAAAGGTATTGTGTCCATCTACAACTAAAAAAAATTAAAATAAATAAATACATAAAAGTTGGTAACCAAAATATTAACCATTGTTTTGTTAGGATGTCAGTTCAGAAGGTTTATAACTTTTTTCCTAATATTATTTGAATACCTTAAAATCAGTATTACATAACTATATAAGGAGACATGAAGCAAAACTACTTCCTGCAGGGGTGTAACCATGTCTAAGGTAATAGACAAGACACAGAGAGAGCATAATTTTTTTTTTTTATTGCTTCTGTTTGATCTGCATGCACTATCCACAGGGAAACATTTGCAAATGACTAACCAGGAAAACAGCCTATGCCTTTTGAAGAGTAAAGGAGGCCAGAATTATTTTAAACATCAAGACTTGTGTAGTACTTTAATAATCATTGTTTTGTTCCCAGATACATTATAAATTCACTCAGGACAAGGACTTTAAATTTAATTATGCTGTTGCTTTGTATTTCACCATTGAATGCTTTTAAAATAAAATTCCCATTTTCCAGTCAGTTTGAAATAACCTTGCTCATTCCTATCCTCTTTTTTTTTTTTAAGTTGTAGGTGAGCACAATACCTTTATTTTATTTATTTATTTTTATGTTGTGCTGAGGATGGAACCCAGAGCCTCATATGTGCTAAGCAAGTCCTCTACCATTGAGCTACAACCCCAACCCCATTCCTATACTCTTCACTGACTGAAATACAAGGCAGCTATGTTGTACCAGTGGCTTTTGGACTTGGGAGTCAGAAGTTTTGACTTAGAGATTTCCTTTATCATACCATCCTCATAGCGTAAAGCTTAAATGAGATGCCTGTGAAATTCTTGTGGGCTCTCAATAAACTATGGGTGATTTGAGTCACAACTGTTAAGTGCTGCTTTCAAACAGGACTTACACATGAAAGATGGGCAAAAGATTCCTTGCTCTAGCACGCATTCTTCCTCTTAGGTTCCACAGATAGTACCTCTCAGGCCGAAGCTACCCCTGCTCCAAGCGGCTGCTGCCATCACAGTTGCTGCCTGTCCAAGTCTAGACATTAATCTAACACCGCACAGGTGCAGCCCAGGCGAGCACGCTCTGCGCATGCGCATTTCCAGAGTCGGTATAAAAACCGAGGTGGGGCTCGGTGAAAAGGAAACCCCGCCTTGCTGCCCGGGGTTCGGCCAATGAGGTTTCTTGTCTTCGTCCCTAGCCTATGAGACGGGGCAGGGGGCGGAGCGGAGGGCGGAAGGAGCCACTTTCACGTGAGTAGGGGGCAGGGCGGCTGGGAAGGCCCTGGTGGCGGAGCCTCCGGGACCGTGGACAGCAGGCGGTAGAGGAGGAGACGGCGGGTCGGGTAGGGCCGCGTTTCCCCTACCAACCCCGGTGGCATTTTGCAGTAGCCCCCGTGGGAAGTCAAGCTGTGTTCTCGCCCCGAGGGTTTAGCTGGAGGCTGCGTTCAGGTCCCTCGACGGGCGAGTTTTGAGGATAGCCGTGATTGGGGCGGGGGTTGGGGCGAGCCGAGGTTGGGAGAGGGCGCATGCGCAGCCTGACGCTCCGGGAGCCCCTGCCCAAACCGGTTCCCCCTGTCTAGGTGGGTGTCTTGTCTTCTGAGCCCTGCGTTTGCTGCCCTTCTCCCTTTCAGCCACCCCCCCCCCTCAGCGAAGCCGGTTTGTGTCTTGACTTTCTTGTTTTCGTTTCTCCCCTTTGGGAATCAGACTGTCCCTTCCGCCTCAGTTTCTCCCAGTTGCCCACTAGGCCTATATGTGTGGCTGACTTGGGCCTCAGGCTTGGCTTCCTGGGCTGCGCCGAGTATCAAAGGCTTGCTCTTTTAGTGTCGCTCTTTCATCTCATGTTTGTCTTTCTTTTTCCCCGCCTGCAATTAAAGTGCCTTTGACATCCCACTCATCCTATCTACTAGAAGCCTCAACACCTTGTTGCTGTATCTTGGTTTTCAGCAACCTTCAGGGTTTTGTGTGTTAAGCTAGAGGGTAACCTCGGCCTCCAGGAGTTCGCTATCCATTGCTTAGTAGTACTTTGGTCCATGGGCTTCTAACATTCAAACTGTTCTAACAAGCATTTGCATAACTCTGGTTATTGAGAATTCCTTTTCATTTATCTTAGAAGTAAATTCCTTTTCATTTATATTAGAAGGAAACTGTTAAATGATTATGCTACTAGTGTTCCCTTAGTTTAAAATATTTCAACTTGAATTTGAGATCTTGGCTTTTGTCATTTGGAGGGTGTGGCGCGGGGAAACTTCACTTGATATTTTCATTTAGACCAACACCTGTATTTATTTTTGTTATGAGTAGAAGTAACGAGTGTGTGCGTTTCCAACTGCTTTCTTTAGGCAGGATAAACTTTACCACATTAAACTGTTGTTTGAAAAGTTAGGAATAAAGTGTAGGTGCCAAGAAAGGACACTTTTTTTTTTTTTTTTTAATGGAGGACCTTTGCCTTAATTCAGGTCTGTGTAGGGTGCTATAAATTATACTAGAGCTTAAAAAACTGAAAATGAATACAGGAGAGATTGATGATCTTTCTTGTAACTATAGTTTGTATTAATAACATTTGAAATCCATTATTGATTTGTATGTATTGGTGACATTTAAAATTCACATGTAGCTCTAATACAAAATATTAACTTGGTCTCATGCCAAAGTTGCCATATTGCTAGATTGTGGTACACTTCCTTTCATTGTTTCAGATTTGTAAGTTTGTAATTAACTCATTGGTCTTAATAAGAGATGTTTGAAAAGTTAACCTGTCAGCTATATGCATTTTGGCATATTTGGTATTGTATTTTGTATAAAATATAAAAGTGATTAACAGTATGGGAGTACTCTAATACATGTTTCCTATCTTCTCTGCATGTTGAGAGAAGTGTCTTGTACATATTACATACTCTACCTTTATGAGGGGACATGATTTTCCGTAATATAACCAAACTTAACAGCCGGGACTCTTTAGAGCAGTCATTGTCTTTTATTTAGTAAAATTTCAGTTAAAGCTTCATTGTTTTGATAATGGCTTTTGAGTATAGGCATTAGAAAATAATGGTTTAAATCATTGCTACTTTTCAGTATCTTTATAAAAACACTGGTATGCTAAGGATCTGACATAGGCTGTACATTATTATGTTTGCAATTTTCAATATTATGAGATATTATTAGATTATCAAGAATGTGGGATAAATGAATACAACACTCTTAAATCTTTCTTGTCTATAGAACTCAAATATTATTTTAAAAGTGCCAATTTAACTAATATATATGAAGCAAAATTTGGCATGTCATTTTGGCACGTTTTAACTGCTTTGTTTTTTACTGGTTTTACATAGTTTAAATTCAGAGGAAACAAATTCCAGAACTTAAGAAATTGATGCCCATGGCTGTACCTGAAAAACAACAATCTGGGTGTAGTGGCCCATGACTGTGATTCCAGTGACTAGGGATGCTGAGGCAGGAAAGTTGCAAGTTAAGGCCAGCCTCAGCAACTTAGGGCACATTCTGTCTCTGAATAAAAAATAAAAAGCTAGAATGTAGCACAGTTGCACAGTACCAAAAAAAAAAAAAATCACTAGAGCGACTTAATGTGTTTTTAATTTTTTTTTAAAGTTATACATGGGCACAATATCTTTATTTTTGTTTATTTATTTTTATGTGGTGCTGAGGATCGAACTCAGGGTTTCACACGTGGGAGGCAAGGGCTCTACCACTGAGCTACAACCCCAGCCCAACGTGTTTTTTTTTTTTTAATGTTTGCATAAACTGGTATCTGATCATTCTCTTCCACCTTCATCTCTCTTCTTGTATTGTTATTTAGGAAACTTTTAAGTCAAAACAATATTGGATGGACATTTATATTGTAACCACTCTTATTGGCTCTATTTGCCTTATTTTTATTCCAAATATAGAAGTATGTAAGTCATGAACATGTTTATAGAATTTAGCCTAGAAGTGTCCCTTCTCTTTCCAAGTCAACTACACTGAGGCAGTCATCAATGAGAATTTCTTGATGTTTCTTCCTTCTCAGTCCAGAGTTCTATGAGACCTGATTCCCCCTGCATCCCATTTTCTGATCACCATAGAGTAAAATAAAGCTATAAGCCTGCCTTTAAGTTTGTGCTTGACATTAAATAGTATGTATTACTGTGGCTTTAAAATGTAAGTGTATTTGTCTGTATGTTTTTGTATGTTGTTGTGGTTGAACCCAGGGCCTTGCACATGCTAGGCAAGTGCTCCACCACTGTGCTACATCCCTAGCCTGAGAAATATTAGTTGTATGGCTGTGTTGCCAGATTTCAGGGTTTGTACCTGTCCAAGAGAAAATGCATAATTGTTACATATTTTCAGTTAGGCTCATATCAGCATCAGCACTGTGTTAGAAACCACTAATCCTTTGGATCTGTAAAACTTTGTGGTAATAACATTTTTCTCCTTACTAATGTGTTACATTTATTAAGATATATTAACAAATGAATTTCTGTGGTAACTTTAATGTTATTTATATTATTAACATAGCTTAAAAATACCCTATTTAAAACTTTCTCTTTTCCATTTTTATTTATACATTTTGGTAATGTAACTTGACAATCTGTAATTATAAACTTGTTTTCCCTAATCTGAAGATGATGCTTCTATCACTTAAAGATGAATTAATATAAGAATGTATTAAATATAATCAAGAGTAATAAGATCATTCAAGTCTAAATTGTATTGAAAAGAGCCATGAGTTAATCATTTTAATATTTTTTATAGAGGTAATAAATTCTCTTGGACCCTTCAGGGTATCTTAGTAAACTGACTCTGGGAATGTGTTATAAGAAAGTCACTTTTGTACTGTGACACATGATTTTCTATCTAGACCTCAAATACACCTGCAGAAGAGGAATGGTTCCTTCCTTATTATAGTTACCTGTTGAATTCTGTGAATTCAGGAAAAGCTGATTTCTGTCTAACCTCAAAGTAATACTTACCTCAAAAATTGTCTCCCTTCGATAGTCTTTTTTATACTTTTTTAACTGTATGGAAAGATCTATCAGATAGGTTTAAAATACCTGTGGAACATAATATTTGTGAATTTTGTATCTTTCTAGTGGCTACTATCTGATGTGAATGAGGGGCTCAGTCAATGCTAATGGACTGCTCACTTATAAATGTTCCTCCATTTTTGTTTAACTGTGGATCAGGTCCTCAGATAAGAAGGTGAAGAAAACTTATGTCTTCTGCCAAACATTTTTGGTTTCCCAATGTTCATTTCCCTGGCATGCAAACAGAAATCACACGAAAGAGAAACTATGTTTTACTGCATTATCTTAAATTTTGATAAACATTGGATTCTTACTTGCTTGGCATTAAATTCACTTAGATAAAAGAGAAGTAATAAAAAAAACATTTCAGATCTAAGTGCAACAGACAGGTGGATATTCTAAATGAAATAGATTCATTTCCTTATTAAAGGAGAAGGAACTATATTGACTAATAATAATAAGAAAAGGTTTTAGAAAACCCCTTATTGCTTAAAATATTTATATTTTTATATTTATAAAATGCAATGTAAATTCCTCAGAAATGTGTTCAAAAAAAGGATACTTAAAAATATGCTAGGAAGGTCAGAAGTGTAATTTGACCTTGTAAATGAGTAGTATATTAACACTAAGCTGGTTTTCTTTGTATTCTCAGAGGTAAGTTCTATTGTGGAAGTGGCTTCCAAATAACAATGTCAGTATTTAGTTTTAATGATATTTTATAGAAGTGACATAAAGGCAGCATACCTGGAGTTCTGGAAAAAAATCAAAGTCCTGTTTCCTGAAATAGCTAGAGGAACATGGAGATTTATTTTTTTTCAGGTGTCAATCGTATTGCACTCACACAGTCAGGCAGAGTTAAATGAATGGCTTTATTTGCATTTCATCCCCTCTTCTTACCACTTGTATCTTTCATGAAAGGAGTCTAAGGAGACTATCGACTTAGGGTCAGAATAACATGGACATCCCAAAGTCTTGCACTTAGCATGTGACTCAGGTAGCTCTGAGACTCAGTTTCTTCATTTGTTAAAATTGATCTTACACCTACCTCAGGAAATCATACTGAAAAAAAAAAAAACTGATATTTTCCTCACTTTTCTAGGTACTTAGATTCACAAAAGTATAGAAAGTATTGGTTCCCTCCTATTACATAATTTAATCATAGCATTGCCCAAGTCAAAAAGAGGACCCAGGAATTCAATGTCCAAGTCTGTTTTTTCCTAGTTGTAGATGGACAGAATGTCTTTATTTGTTTAATTTTATGTGGTGCTAAAAGTCTAACCCAGTACCTCACACATAGTAGGCAAGTGCTCTGCCACTGAGCTACAGCCCCAGCAACCCCCCCCCCAGTTTTTTTCCTATTATAATAGTTTAAAATCCTAGTAAGGTTTGATTACTCATGAAAAAGTGAAAAATGACTGAAAACAATGGTTTTCTTTAGGCATTTTACTGTGTTTTGTGAATTTTTGACCTTAAAAATCCCCAAAACTACAGTCAGTCTTTAAATAAACTTTTATTGAAGGATGAATTGATATATGAAATGTGGCATACATACTAATGAA